ACAAACGGAGCTTAACTCATACGTCTGTTCGGTTCAAAGGTCTAGGGTGCACTGATCAATCTTAATGAATCCGTTCAGGTTAATTCTTCTGCATTGTTGAAAGAACAAAGACATGAAGGTGTGAGGCCAGGGAGGGTTTTCTTGCCATGAGTCATCCATACTTTAAATATTACAATATTTTAAGAAGATTCTTATGATTTGACATGTTTTCAGAATAAGAAATATTATCATAATAAAAAAATGTTATCATAGTAAGAAATGTTATTATAATAAGAAAAATTATCATAATAAGAAATGTTTTCATAGTAAGAAATATTATCATAATAAGAATGAAGTATTCAGAGATAACAAGATTTATTTCATATATATGAGATTAATATAATTTGTGCAATTTCGCTTCTTGGGAAAAGGTCATAATAAAGAATTTTTTAGGTTAAAATAATTGAGGGGGGGGGGGGTTGAAAAAGTTCATAAATTTATATTTATTTTACAAGAAATATTGACACAATAAGAAATGTTATCATACAAAGAAATATTATCATGATAAAAAATTGTAATAAATCTAGGTCCCGAGATTACTCTACTCAAAGTTTAATTAAAGTCTCAATGACTCTATCTCTAGCCAAAACTCAAGGCTCTGTATTCGTCCGTTAACACAACGTTTCATGTAGTACTAATTTATTTATATACAGGTAAATCAAACTGACCGGATTGGCCGGTCAGAGTCACATTGAAATAGATAAGATATATTAATAACATGGATAATAAAGATCGTACTAATCATTACAACAGAAAATGCTACAAAATATTATCATAATAAGAAATGGTATCATAATAAAAAATGTTATCAAATTAAATAAAGAAATATCATCATAATAAGAAATAATAACATAATAAGAAATATTATCATGATAAGAAATATTATCATAATAAGAAATGGTATCATTGTAAGAAATATTATCATAATAAGAAATATTATCATAATAAGAAATAATAACATAATAAGAAATGTTAACATAATAAGAAATAGTATCATAGTAAGAAATGCTATCAAAAAAAGAAATGTTATCATAATAAGAAATATTATCATAATAAGAAATATTATAATGATAAGAAATATTATCATAATAAGAAATATTATCAAAATAAAAAAATGTTATCATAATAAGAAATATTATCATAATAAGAAATAGTATTATAGTAAGAAATAGTATCATAGTAAGAAATGTTATCATAATAAGAAATATTATCATAATAAGAAATGTTATCATAATAAGAAATATTTTCATAATAAGAAATATTATCATAATAAGAAATATTATCATGATAAGAAATATTATCAAAATAAGAAATGTTATCATAATAAGAAATATTATCAAAATAAGAAATATTATCATAATAAGAAATGTTATCATATCAAAAAATGTTAACCTAATAATAAGTAGTATCATAATAAGAAATGTTATCATAAGAAGAAATAGTATCATAGTAAAAAATATTAGCATTATAAGAAATGTTATCATAATAAGAAATGTTTTAGTAAGTAGAAATATTTTACGATAATAAAAGTTTTTATAATTTGAATTGTTTTTGAAATATTTTCATAATAAGAAATGTTTACATAATAAAAAACGAAACGTAAAATTTAATTTCGTTGCCTAATTCTCTTGCTAATGTCATTTCGTGCCAAATTGCACTATTCTATTTTTTTGCAACTCTGCTTTGTGCAATTTCGCTGCTTAAAAAAAAGTCATAAAAGTTTTCTTTAAAGTCAAGGGGGAGGGGGGTGAAAACGTTCATATATTTATTGTACAAAACTGAGTAGTTAATTAAAATGTCATTTTGAATGATAAACATTAAACAAGTTAAATTACCTTTAATTAGTTATAAAAGGGACTGTAAGCGTAATTTCAAGTGACCTCTATGAAAAGATGTCAATGCCCGATTCACAATGATACCATAAAACATTAATCTAAAATGTGGAAGATAACGTTGTTTTCCTGACTTGAAAAATGTTTAAATTCTAATTTCTCCATTTTTTCTTGTAAGCAAGAAATTTGCAAGTTACTTTTGCAGAGAACCCGCAATTTAAAGAAACAAAACATGGATATATATTAGTAGAAAGCAGTTGAGGTGTCAACACCTCCTCTCTCTGAGAGAAACCATGCAAAAGGCTTGCAAATATATTCAGGACTAGGGCCGCAACCCTTTTTACTGTCATCAAGAATGGGTTCACACCCTTTGCTAATGGCAGATCTCAAAGTCTACTACAGTCAACGAGTACGGGTTCACACCCTTTGCTAATGGTAGATGTCACAGTCTACTACAGCCAACGAGTATGGGTTCACACCCTTTGCTTAATAGTAGATGTCAAAGTCTACTACAGTCAACATGAATGGGCTCACACCCTTTGCTAATGGTGGATGTCAAAGTCTACTACAGTCAACAAGAATGGGTTCACACCCTTTGCTAATGGTAGATGTCAAAGTCTACTACAGTCAACAAGAATGGGTTCACACCCTTTGCTAATGGTGGATGTCAAAGTCTA